TAAACACTGAACCAAAGTATGTGTAATGTGCTGATATGGCAAAGCGAGTTTACAGCCAATTTTTAAAAAAATTGTAAAAAACTGTTGAAAATTGCTGTGATCATGGCACCAGCAGGATTAATGGATCTTTTGCATACCTATCCGAAAATTGCGGTATTCGCCAATTTGTTTGTTGAGGGCTCAATTATTGAGCCAAAGTAGCAAACTTGCGCCAACGCCAAATCGCAACTTTTTAACTCGATTTTCAAAAATTTGCTGCAATCTCGCCAAAATAGGAGCTAAACTCAAACTCACCAAGTTCATAGTTTCAGTTTTACCCTATCCAATCGCATGAACAGCAATATTCTAGTACAAACCGACACAGTAAGGCGAGTTTGAAATTTAAATTTTGAAAATTTGTGAAATGTATACAAATTGCTAGAAAAATTCCAGTTGCAGATAAAATCTTTAGAGCAAAGTTCTTTGTCGATTACTCTAAGTCGTCCAGAAAAAAGTCATTGAACCAAATCCTGAAGCAGAAAAGCAAACTTGCCGCAAATTTTTGAAAATAAAAAAATGTTTAATCAATACATTGGATGAAAATAGCACTTGCCGAGTTAATGAAAATCACTTTTCTTCGTCTAAAGGCGTCGACAGCTACGCTCTGAAAAAATCACTGATCATAAATTTATTTTTGAATCAAAGCCTTCTAAATATGCTAATGCAGAAGAGCAAGTTTGCAAGTATATTTATGAAAATTTGTTCTAAGTCAGCTAGAATTCAAAGGGAAAAAATTTAATTTTTCAGGTGGGTAGAACGCATTTTCTTCTCTAGAATGAATTCGGAATGTCATACTTTGGTCTCTTTAATGTGCTAATATAGAAAATCGAAGCGCAGCCAATTTTTTGAAAAAAGTTTGAAAATTGTTTAAAATTGTTGTGAACATGACACTCACAGGATTAATAAAACATCTTATTCCAAAGTGTATCCGAAAACTACGGTCTCCTCCAATTTGTTGCTGAGGAAGTAATTACTAAGCAAAAGTAGCAAAAATGCGCCAAAGCAAAATCGCTACTTTCTGACTCGATGTTTACAAATTTGCCAGAATTTAGACAAAAGTGCAATTAACGGAAACCTTGCCGAATTCATAAATTCAACCTTCCTCTATTTAATAGCGTTAAGAGCTGTGCTATGGTGTATTTAATTCCCGAGAAATAAATATTTGAACAACACCTGCAAAATGGTCTGGTACAGAAAAGCAAGTTTGAAGTCAACATTTTGAAAATCCGCAAAAAAAATCAAATTTGCTCTCAAAATTTAAGTTGCAGTTATCATTCAGAAAAAAGTTATTGAATAAAATTCTGCTGACACAAAAAGAAACAACTGAAAAAACCAAATTTCAAAGCCAAAAATATTTAACCAAAGAACGGTGAAAACAAAACTTACCAGGTCAATCGCATTATTATTATTAGCATTATCCCATATCTAAGGGCATCAACTGCTATGCTCTGAGAAAACTCGTTGAAGAAGAATTACTTTTAAATGAAAGGATTTTCTGTATCTATGTTATATTCTGGTACAGAACAGCGAGATTGCGAGATTAAAGATTAGTCGAAAATTTGCAAAAATTAGCGCTTAAATTAAAATTTGTCGTGATGATTGCGTACATTTTTTTCTTTTCAATGAAGTAAAAAAGTACGCCCTAAAGTAATACGCCGATGAGCAATTAAGAGTTGAACCAAAATCTGCCAAATGTGATTTTTAAGCGACAGTTCTAAGAAAATATGTGAAAAATTGCCCATAATTAATGAAAACAGAGGAAAAAGGGAAAAACACCTTCTTGTATTCGATGACGTTAAAAACTGCAATCGGTAGCCTGTAGGCGATCAGGAATCAATTACTGAAACAAATGTAAAAAAACGTGAATTTCTTCTGGGTATAATTAAGAAATCAGCCAAAAGCGTAAGGCCTAATCTTGCGTTCTGTACGGGGAACCGGTATAGGATTTGGATGAGCTGGACAAAAAACTGTTTTACTCAAACTGCATGTAAAACTATGCTCAGTTGGAGGTCTTACGACAGTTAGGAGGCTGAAAAAAAACTATTTTCGACCTCAACCCATATCAAAATTTTCTCTAAACACTTTCAAAAACCACATTTGAAGTTGTGTTCTTGAAAAATGAAATTAATAACAATTTGAAAAGTGCGTAAGATTTCCTTCTTTGGAGAGACTTACTAAACCAAAAAATCTGAACATAATTTACGCACGAAATCCACATCGTTTTTTTGTTACAAGCAAATTGGTTGTTCTGAGCTGCTGAAGCTATACTGAAGGTTAATATTAAGGCTTTGGAGGTGAAGGATACGGAGGAAAAGGCTGTTTTGGAAGTGTAAAGGCCCAGAAAGTTTTGAAGTTCTTTGCTGAATTTTTGGCGATCCACCAAAAATCCACCAACATCGAGACAAAAATAATTCTTAGATAATTAGAAGTCAGTTGTTCTGGCTATCTAATTACTTAAGAGGCAACGCTCAAAGCCATTTAATGCCTCAGGATTAAATAATTGAACCAAAGTATGTTTAATGTGTTGATATAGAAAACCGAGTTTGCAGCCAATTTTTTGAAAAATTGTTCAAGAGTGTTGAAAATTTCTGTGAACATGGCACTAACAGGATTAATACATCTTTTGCGTATCCGAAAACCACGGTATCCGCCAATTTGTTGTTGAGGACTTAATTATTGGACCAAAGAAGCGAAAGTGCGCCAACGCCAAATCGCAACTTTGGAACTCAATTTTCAAATATTTGCTGGTCAAAAACTGGCCAAAATAGCAACTAAACTCAAACTTGCCAAATTCATAGCTTCAGTTTTCCTCTATCCAATCACATGAAGAGCAATGCTCAAGTAGATTTAATCGATGAGTGCTCATATTTCAAAAAAGTTTACAAAATTCTGTTGTGTTTTAAAATGTTTTAAAATGTTTTAAATTTCTCAAAAATTAATGAAAATTGTCACTAAAATTACAGTTGCAGTTACTAATTTGAGCAAGCTTATTCTATAACCAATTACCTAATGAACAAAATATTAAAAATGCGCCACCGCAAAATCGCAACTTTCTAACCCGATGTTTACAAATTTGCTAGTAGGGCTGAAAAGGGTAAGTTTTACTTTAAAACTTGCCGAATTCATAGAGCCCACCTTCCTCTATCTACCAGTATTAAGAACGATGCCATACAGCATTTAATCCCTGAGAAATAGATTTTTGAAGAAAAAATTTGCAAAATGGACTAATACAGAAAAGGAAGTTTCAAGTCCACGTTTTGGAAATCCGCAAAAAAAATTATCAAAATTGCTATCAAAATGCAAGTTGCAGTTACAATTAACACTAATTTTCTCAGTCGAATGCTCTAAGTGGTTGAGAAAAAAGTTATAGAACAAAATTCTGCTAGTTTCAAAAAAGCAACTGAAAAAACAGCAAAATTTTTTAACAACTATTTTTTAGTTACTTAAAAAGAAATGCTAGAAATTAACGAAAGGAGGGATCAAAATAATATATATCAAAATGGGGCCAAGTTTTCCCTATCTAATAGCGTGAACACTTAGACTCTAGTCTATTTAATTGTCAAGGAGTAAATGTTGAAAAATTGCTTGCTAAATCTGCTAATAGAGGAAAGCGAGTTGAAGCCAAAATTTTGAAAATTTGGAAAAAATTAATCAAAAATGCTTTCAAAATGAAAGTTGTGGATACAGTTGAGCGCAATTTTCCCTGCTGAATGCTCTAAGTCGTCTAGAATTTCTACCAGAACAATTGAGATGGTGCAAAGTTTGGGTCTCTTTAGTCTTAGTTTACACCCGCTGCAACGTATACTCGCTACAAATAAAGTGAATTTTTGCAACAAGTATGTGGATCAACTAAAGTAAAATTTGTGCAAAATCACCAACATTCGGAAAAAAAATGTAAAACTTTGTTAACTTTTTTTAGGGGTTAATATACAGGGTTATTCACGCTATACGGCACGGACGTTTGCGGCTAAACCGTTTGTTTTTTGCAAACTATTATTTGATGAATCCACAGACGCCTATCGGGTGCACATTTTAGAAATATTTTTGTAACGTACAGAGTGTCGCAAAATCTCTAAAAGTATCAAAGTTGTGTTTTTCTAAATGAAATACCATATATATTATTGCATTTTTGGATTCTCTGAGCATTGTGCACAGAACGCCTATTTGACGTATTTTGTAAAAAGGCAAAAACTTAGCTATTAACGTCTTAATACCATTCGATAAGTAATTAAAAATTGCATTTCCTGGTATGTTAAAAAATATGGGGTTGTATTAATCAAGTTAGAGCCAATTAAAGTTCTTATTTGGTTAGTTTAAATTTGTGGATATAAAATGTTATATCTTGTTACACTTCACTATAAATTACGCTTACATGACTTAAATACTTATAAAGTATTTGACACGTGAAAATTAGACTAGATTTTGATTAAATTCGTATTATTTAAAAAACCTTAAAATTTAAGCATTGTAAACCTTATTAAAACAGACACTTATTTCGTTCAGCAAATCCAAAAATGCAATAATATACAGGACATTCCATGTAAAAAAACGCAACTTTGATTGATCTAACCTTTAGAGCCTTTGGGACACCCTGTACATTACAAAAATATTTTTAAAATGTGCGCTCGGTAGGCGTCGGACAATTCATGAAATAATATATTTTTTTAATCAAACGGTTTAGCCGCAAACTTCCGTGCCGTATAGCGTGAATAACCTTGTATAGCCGAGGAATTAAACAGACCTGGGCTTTCTCGTCAATATGTTAGTAGCTACCGTAATTGCCTCATCATTTTTCTATTGAATTTTTATTGCTTTACTACTAACAATCATACAATTATTTTTATTTATCAGTCGCGTATCTTTGAAATCCCTCTACGTTTCTGTGTGGCATAATGGCACTTTCACCCTCATTTGACTCGCCCACTTGTTCAACAATTCTCACATTGGAAATATTCTTGCAGCCCAAAAACCAAAGATGAAAAGCCACTACCGCGGGCATAAAATGGCTGTCTGGTTGAACCTCATTCCTCAACTGCACCAACCAGGAGACGAAGACGTCAGCATGCGGCATCACCACTTTTATGAACGGGAACCTCACTTTTACGCAGGTAAGTGTGTGGTTCCGCCCAAAACCCAGTTGAAACCAACCTCCAGGTTCCTCCAATTGAACCCCCCTAAATGCAGGAAAGCATTGCAAATTCGCCAGTTTAGGCAGGCGAGCAACGCGGAACAACTTTTTAATAGGACAGACCGAGAAAAGCAGCCGCAATCTCGGCTGATAAAATCCAATTGGTTTATAATTCGATTTTGGACGGAGTTTCATAATTTTTACGATACTTTATCGTGTTACAGAAAATGTAATTTGCGCGAATGGGGGCGGTCTTTTCTTTGCCTCTAAACAAGTTTGGGGAAATCGGGAAACAGATTTTACGCAATAGCGATTATATAATTCGAACTTAGGAATTATTGCGCCTTTTGTGCGCCTTCAGGCTCTCAATAAGTGCAAAAACAGACTTTGTAAATATTTGGGTCTCTTTTATCAGCTTGGCTCGATCTGGAAGTCAATTAAGCATTGGTTTTGCTGTGAAACAAATTATTTTCAGTTTGCATTTTGTCCATTAATAATCATATTAGTAAAGAGGTTACAGAAAAAAATATATTAACTGGGGGGGATTGATTAATGGGCTGATTCAAAAAACTGAAACATTTTGAAAATGGATTCCCGATTTTTTCAGAAACTTTCTTCCAAACAATTTTTCTTATTGAAAATGCACACTGTGAGTGAAACGAATTTCAAAGTGTGACCTTTTTCCAGTATCGGACCGTTCTGGAAAACGATTTCCTGGTGTTGTTGTCTAGACCTACAAATTTTAATATTTATAAATTTTATGCTAAATTGACGGTTTTTATGCGCATGGGGATCAAATAGGCTTTTATTAAATGAACGCGGAATATATGGAGAGCACTTTGAAAAGTAACCTATTTGAACCGCTTTGTGGGTGCTAATAGAAATTGAAATATTCGCTCTCATGAGAGCCTAAACAAAATGGTTTTTCTGTCCTTTGTAGCTAAAGCAACAATTTTTTTAGGATTGACTTAACTCGTTAGTGCAGTTTCTCCATTTTGTAAAGCAATTTTGAATGCTGTCCAGGTTTCTTTGTACATTTTTCAATTGCCTTATTGCCAGTGCTTGGGATGTGAAAATAGCCGTATCATCTGCATTTATGCAGCACTTTATTCGATCAGAGGAAATCTACAGTGTAAATTGAATAAGCGTCCCGGGTGAACATCTTCTGTAGCTTCGATCAGGCATAGTTTTGACTATCCGATGATAAAAGAAAATATCTGGCGAAAAGAACAGTGAAACCATGCAAGACTTTGAAAATTTTTCCAGTCATCAGATTGTATCCTGGTGCTCTTCTAAGATTTAATTAAGATTAAATGGGTTTTGAGAAGTTTAGGAAACTCAATTTTGTATTAATGCCTGATAATTTTCTCCAAAAATATAAGTTTTAAACTCCTTCTCCAGGTAATCTGCAAAAGTTTGAGCTTTTTGTCTTTTCTCCCTCGTGTCTCATTTCAGAGCCACTTTTTGACTTAGTTTTTCTTTCTGGTTCCCTCAGAGGTAAGGTTTGGTTTTTGATCGCAATTTTCTCAATTTTAAAAGCTCCTTTCTTTAAGATCCAGTTGTAGTTCAATCGCTCAAACAGCTTCAGTTGTCTCCATCGTTGACTAGGTTTTACCAGAATTAGAGAAATTTGCTACTTGGCTTCTTACAGATTTCGTAGGCCTGTTTCTTCAGAACCAGGCCAACTCTTGACTTGGAAACATCTTAGAATAATGTCATAAAACGTGAATTTTCACACAATGTATAATCAAATTTTTCTCTTAGATGGTTTGCTTAAAGCTCCATTTTAGATTTTAGTAGCTTGGTTTGCTTTAACAGGTTTACCAAATTTGCAAGTTTTTTAAACAGTTTTAAAGTCGATTTCTCAAAAATCAGATGTGATATTGAAATCCAAAACCTTAGTTTAATCCGACGGTAAATCTAGCTTTTATAGGCCAAGCAGCAGAAATTTAGCATTTTAATTTTGACGAGAATATTTGTTATTGGCTACTTTGGTCGTTCAAATTTTAAAACCCTATTTTTCAAAAGCCAAGAAAGAAATCCTCCGATGTTAAAATGCTTCAGTCTTGTGCACAGAGTTCCAATTAATACACTTTGCGACTTTTACGTTGTTGTCGCAAGTGGTTTGCTCATAATAAATTTTAGTGCTTATAGCAAATTTGCCCAAATTGACTTTTTCGGATACATTTTTAGAGTCAATTTTTCAATAGTCAGACAGGCTCAGGCTTGGCTCAGAATCCATTTTTAGAGTCTGAGCACATTTCTTCTTTTAATCATTCCTGTCTTATTAATTTGTTAGCTCAATTTCTCCATAATCAGTGCAAATCTTAAAATGTAATTGTTAGTACTTTAGCAAGCAACTTTAACTTTAGGCACACGATGAATTTAGCTTTTATCCCAATCGGTTAACTTTGACGAGAATCTTTACAATTTGATATTTTGTGGCTAAGTTCTAAGTTCTATTTCTCGCAAACCAGGTTAAATATCGCTGTCTAAATATTATGAAATAGTTAGAACGGCTTCAGTTTTCGCAAGTTGCGAGTGTTATTTTGTTGCCTCAAGGGCCCTGCTTAGAATGAATATTTGGAGTTTGATTCAATGATTTCATTTTCGATATTTTTGTTGTAAATTTTTATCTGCCATTTCTCAATAATGAGAGCAGATTCGCTGTTAAGTCGCCCTATTTCTTCAAGCCAGCTTCGCCTTAAAAGCACTCACTGCGATTTTTGTATGAAAAGTACAATTAATATACTCTAGTTTTTTGCTTCATGTCTTGCCCTACTCAACGACAAATTTCACGTTTTTGCACTGGTTAGTAGAAGTTAATTTTTTGGTGTTCCCTCAAACGCTGTGATCGGAACGTATTTTTTCAGTCAATTTCAGTCTCGTTTTTGCAGTTTCTTGTTTTAGTGCTAAAACCTAATTGCTTAACTTCGACGAGAATCTGTACAAGTTGATACTTTGTGCCTTCGCATTTTTAAGCCCAATTTCTCACGAACCAGATCAAATCTTGCTGTCTCGATTTTATCAGATTAGCAATCAGCTTCAGGTTATGCAGGATTTAAGTTTCACTTTGTCCCCTGAATCGCTTTACTCAGAATTAATATTTAAAGTTTGAGTTTTTTATTTGAATTATGTGATGTTTTTTGTCTTTATTTTTATTGTTGACAGATCCACCTTAATTCGTCAAGCAAGATTCAGTTTAAAAACACTCTGATTTTGGTTTTAAAATTCAGCTGTAACTAATTATTTGACTTTGAACCGATTCTTCTCATGTTAATACTTCTTCTTAATTTCTGAGGCTTCTTTCCTGAGTTGTTTCCTCAAGTTGTTACTACAGCTTCAGTGCACATAGTGTAAATTTCTCTTTGCGCTCTAAAGCACGTTGCTCAGAATTGATTTTCAGAATCTGGGCAAATTTCTTGTTTTTACCAGTTGTTTCCGAGGTCAATTTCTTAATAATCAGGGCCGATCTTAAAATGTGATCTTTGTAATTTATCAAACAAACTTAACTTTGCCACACTGTAAATTCCGTTTTTGTTAATCAAGCAGTTTCCGAAAAGCTGATCGTTTAATTTCGACGAGAATTACAACATTTGGGGCTTTGCACCTTACACATTTCTAAGCTCTATTTCTTAAGAACCAAGTCAAATTTGAGTGTATAAGTCTAATCAGATGATTAAATCGGCCTCATTTTACGCAAGGTGTGAGTTTTGCTTTGTTCCCTAAAGCGTTTTGCTCAGAATTAATATTTGCAATTTGCGTTCATTTTTTTACTTTCGATTTTTTTCTTGTACATTTTTAAGCTCAATTGCTCTATAATCGGAGCAGATATCAATATTAAATCCCATATACTTCATAAAGCAAGTTTCGCGTTACATTGTGTTTCTGGTTCGCACAGTTCAATCAGTTTACTGAAAACCAGTTATTTTATTTGGATCAGAAAGTTCACATATTCACACTTTGTCTCTTATGCCTCTCTATTGTCTATCTCTCAAGACCCCGATAAACTCTTGACTTCTAAATGCTCCCAAGTTGTTAACGCAGCCTCAATATACACTGAGCGTGAAATTCACTTTATTCCCTGAATAGTTTTGCTCAGAATTCATTTTTGCAATTTGATAAAATTTAGGCTTTTTGTGATTTCTTTCGCATACCCTTTCTACGTCAAATTCTGAACAACCACTGAAAGTCTGAAAATCTTATCGTCTCGAACTCATCAAAAAAGCTTCACTTTAGCGACAAGCAGTTTGCGACACTCTAATTATTTAACTTTGATCAGAATCTGTCTAATTTTCAACTTCTTGTCCTGCACATTTAAAATACTTTTTTCTCAGAAACCAGGAAAACCTTTGATGTAAAAGTGTTGTTGTTCTTCAAATTTGCCCAATAATTATATAAAATTTACGAAAACGTCTAAAATTTTCTTCTTAGAGCCTTACACATTTGGGCTTGTTTCTTAACAACACGGTCCACGGCAATTTTCACTTATACACAAAGTCATTTGCACATTGATATCTCAAGTGGGTTGCTCAGAATTTATTTTTCAGCTCTGGCTAAAGTTTTCTTAAAAGATCCTATTCTTCATAACTTGTTGTCTTTCCTTCTGTTCCCTTTCTTTAAGGGCCAGGCCACGCACCAAACTGTGAACAATTATGAGTTGTAAAAACCGCTTCTCGTAATACACAGTGCAAATTCCACTTTGTTTTCGCAAGCCGCCTACTCAGAATTAATTTCTGAACCCTAAGCAAAGTTTCCACAATTTGCCATTATCTTCCTAAAATATTTTCCACTTCTGTTCTTTATAATCAGGGCAAAACTTGAGATTTAGTCGCCTTTAGCCCGCCAAACAAGTTTAATTTTTATATGCCAAAGTTGATACATTTTGTTGGAATTTAATTATTTGCCTTTGGCCACTTCTCATTCAATAGTTTTTTCTGGCCCCGAAAAACCAAAGGCTAAGCGTGATTTCCGAGTTGTTAAAACCCTTTCCGCTTGCACAAAATGTGAATTTTCCTTTGCTCTCTCAAATTAATCGCTCTAAATTCACTTCTGTACTCTGTGTAAATTTCACCTAATTTGGCATGATTTTTTAGTCACTTTGAAGGTCAGTTTCTCAATATCTATCTAACAGCTGGGGAAAATTAACTTTCAAAGTGGATAAGCTCTGATTGTTTCAAGCGATTTGGTTTCTGTTAGAAGCGTTAATGAGCCCCATTTGCTTTTTATCAGTCAAGGTTTTTGGTGGTAATTAAGCACATCAGATAAATTTTCTACGGGGTGGCAAACAAAGCATGCAAAATTTTGCTCCTATTTGCACAAAAAAAGTTCCAAAATAAACCAAATAGCTCGAAAGGTTAATCATTTTTGTCCATCTCGTTTTACTGGGTGGTTCTAAAAAATCACCTTTTTGGTCTCGCATAGATAATTTTTTTCTTCTTGGGCCGACTGGCACGATCTGGACCTTATCTTGAAGCTAAAACTTCATAGAGAATTTGAGACATAAATACAGCGGATGCATAAAAAATTATCAAAATAGTCAAAATTGCCCTCCAAATCTGTGATTCTGGCAGGTTTTCCACTAAAGTGAAGTTTACTATCAAATATTTCGTTAATTCCGGTTTACTAAATTATTACCCTCTCAATCACGCTGTGAAGTTTTAGCTTCAACATGAACCATCAATTTTCAAAATCGGTTCAAGGGAACAAAAATTATCGTTTCAAGACCAAAAAAAAGTTGGGCAAAAAAATTTCAAATTCAGTTTTGCATTGCATCATTTGCCACTCTGTAGAAACTTTCTGTGAAGCATAATTTGTTAGCAAAAACACGCACTAACCAACAAAGAATTGCGCTAAATAACGCTTCAAGCAGAAGTAAAATCGCTTACAGCAACCAGAGTGAACAGACTTTATCCAGTTCCAAAGTTGTTCCAAATTTCCCAACTCTCACATTGATTTGTCAGACAAGTTTCCGTTGAGTCACATTGCGAGTTTCCTTTTGATCGTTCAATCAGTTAAGAATGTGAATTAAATTCAAGGTGAAACGCAATTTTTAGCATGCAAAATAGGTGGCGTCTGTAACATTTTCTCACCGGGTTGTTAAATCCATATCCATTGCAAAAGATCCGAACTGCACTTTTCGTCTAAAATCAATAATTAGCGAGTTAGTGAAGGTTTCCCAACCGGTTTCCAAATATAGCAAATTTTTCATTAAAGAGTATCGTGCTAATCCCGGAAAAAGTCGAATTTTTCTCATAAAAACAATCCGTTGCAAAAGTAAAATTTCCATGACTATTGGCTTCTATGGAAATGCGACTACTTCATGCAGCTCTTGGAAGATCGAAACTTTTCCCAAACTATTCGAAGTACTGCAATAGACCCCTAACCCAAGCCATAAGGATGTGAAAAACATCCCCTCAATCAATTAATTACTTCCGATGAGAACTAGAACTTTCTGCTGTCGTTCAACATGCCGCAGGATTTGCGACACTTTCCAGCAACTTGGCAATTAGCTTAAGTGCAGGCCTGGATGATGTACGATGCTCTTTCCCCTGGATCGATCCTGCATTGGTGCAATGAATCATAATAGTATCGTGTGCATTTCAGGAGCCGTTAGAGTTGAATCGTTCACGCGACTGCCGCCCGTAATGCATCCTGCTTCCATGACGGATTCGCAAATGATCGGCGACAGATCTGGACATACGGATTGTCCGCCTGTAAGCACCGCTGAAGAGAACGACGACAATGAGGAGAATGGTGAGGAAGGCAAAAGCCGGTGGCTAAGACTGCTTAGGTTTGAGGACTTTTCCAGATAAAGAGCAGGAGAAACTGCTAGAGCAGCTGACCACTCCGCACTACAGCTACACCGCCGCTTTGGGTGTTACTATTGGGATTGGCAGTCTTCTGCTGATACTCAACATGTTGATTTTTGCAGCAATTTACTATCAGGTGGGCACGATTGATTAAAAGACTCCTTTAGTAACTCGATTTTTTGCAGAGAACCAGAGATCTGAGATCTGAAAACCAACGCTCTCACTCAATCTCCAGACGCTCCCGCGGCACCTCGACTCCTTCAACGGAAGAAACAATGCCGATGTCGCAAAGACTAAGCACTCCGGGCAGTAGCGCACGCCAATCCCCACTAGTCCATAGACGCGACATGGAAATGGCCGAAATTTCCCTGGGTTTCTCCACGGTCCGTCACAGTTTCCCACCCAAACTATCGTAAACGTTTCGATTTGTTTCAGAGGAGCAAAAAAATCTTTAAACGACCCACACCCAGCTTGCTGTTCTAGTGGCTGGATGGTGGACGTGTTCATTTTCAGTGCGAGCATTTTCAGGGACTCGTGGAAAGTGTGCAAACGGGACAATTTCTTTCCTCAGTTCTGCCCTAATGTCGTCGATGGCTATAATGTACGGGTTTGAGTGTGACTAGATCTAATTTCTGTTCTATTGAACTTTTCGAACCCTGAAGGTGAATACAAACTTTTGTTTACATCGGTGTTTTTGTTGCCACTAAGGTACAAGGCAAACCAATTTAATAAAAGGGCCCTACCTAAATTGAAAGGGACAAAAGCGGGTTGTTTTGCAGTCAAAAACGCAGTCAGGTTGGATCCAATGAGTTTGTAGTTTCTTAAGCTGAAACCTGGATTTTAAGGCCGAACGAATTATACCTCAAAATGAAGTTTTAATACTCGCTTGCAATTGACTATATTAAACTGTGAGCGAGTAAAATTTGAAGACAACTAATTTCTGGGCAATATTTTGGGACACCAGCAGATTTCAGGTTGGTAAGAAGAGGAGCAGGGCTCCAAGGAGCAATAGCGCATTGTTATAAAATTTCCGCAGCCTCTAAAGAAGATTAAGAATCAAGCTATAAAAGTGCAAAACTTTAAAAAGTGTGTCCCAACTGGGGTTTTTGAGACTTACAGCTGGGAATTATGTCTGTTTCAAATGGTCCCACCGAAGAAAACAAAGCATAACTCTGTGCAAGGCTCCAATAGTGATGTGCAATTTATGCAGCCTTTATGTAAGATATCAGTCTGTAATTGTACCAAATTTTAGAGTTACGTAGAAGGTTTTTGACGACGACTTCCTAATGATGCCAGCAACCAAAAAATTATCCTAACTTCAGGCAACACTTGAGTATTGACCTATAATTTATGCAGCTTTTACAGAACGTATGAAGCTACAAATCGACAAAAATTAGTTAAGGGTTGGGTAAGCAGCGTTTTTTAAGCGAGCTAAATTTGAAGCGGGAAATTCCGTCTGTTTTAAATTGTGCCACCAAAGGATCATAAGTAATCAAATCTCTAAGGAAGTCTCTAATATTGAGCTACAATTTATGCAGCATTTATGTAATTACATGCTGATGTGGCTGCATTGAACAAAAAAAAGGTGCGTACATTTTTTTGGAGACTCGAATTTTCCCATACATTTTCGACCTACTGCCTTCCCATTTTTGCCGTTTTTAGGTCGGTTTTCATTTCTGCTTTTAATAGTTTTAGAACCTCATTTGGTCTATTGGGTTTTCAATTTGTGTTCATTTTCATCTAAAATTAGCCTTCCGTTTAAGGTTAAGGTTTAAGCCACTTTGAGTATTGCTGGCTTTCCTTTTCATTAGTATCAGTTATATATTTTCTTTTCTGTGGGTGTAAAAACAGTCATGCTTTCTCTATCTCTTCACCCTGTTCCTATGGCCAGTTTTGCTCTGCTTCCTTAGTGTTGCGCTACTCGTTTGTATATCTCTCTATTTCCTATTATTTTTGCTTATGAGCTGCCGCCCTTCAGCCCTTAACTCAAGGATCTCCTCTGTGATTCATTATTTCTTTTCGTGTGTTTTTGGTGTTAATTTTTGACTGCTAGTTCGCTCTGGCCTCATTAGAAGCCATTCTTCCAGTTCAGTGCTTTGGAGCTTTCCTCCTTTACATTAATCATAATTTAAAACATAATTTAAATTAATTTAATTACATCAATCAAGAACAATCAGATCAAGATTTCCTCTATCGGTATTTTGTTTCGGTCATCTCTTAGTCTGGTAATATCGATTGGGGTATTTTCTGATCTTCTTTTTACTCATCAACTTTCTCCTCTCCCTTCGTTGCATTAAAATATCCCATTTAACCCCCCAGTCTTTCGACAACGCATCAAGCTCTCTCTAAACGTGCAAAAATTTGTAGAAGGTTTGTCAAAGGGTTGTGAAAAATGTGTGTTTGTAGACCGTACTAAATTTCAGGAAATTTCCAAAGAAAAAGTGCAACCAAAGAAAACAGATCGCGACTCTAAAGAAGGCGCAAATATTGATCTACAACTTATGCCGCCACAATATATTATATGAGTAGTTGTACTAAATCTTCAAGAATTTGCAAAAATGGTGTTTTCGTTGGAATTTTTTTAATTTTCCGAGTGAAAATTGGTCGGTTTTTAGAGGTGCTGCCATAGAAAACACAGCATAATTCTAGGGACGATTCTGATGTGAACCTGCAGTTTATGCAACCTCTATATAAGACATCCGGCTACAAATCTGGTAAATTTAAAGCTTCCAATTTTCAGATACCGGAAATTCTTTGGTTGACACCAAGCAAAAAAAATCATGACTTCAAGTAACACTCAATTTTTGGACTACAATTTATGTAACTTTTAAACGAGAAATCAGGTTGCAAACTGGTATAATTTAAAAAGAATTGCCCCATTGGGATTATTGGGAGGCTTCCAAATTTAACGGTGAAAATTCGTATTTTCCTAATTTTGCCAACAACCGAAAAAAAACGCATAGCTCCAAGCAACACTTGAGTATTGACCGACAATTTTTGCAGCCTTTAGAGGACGTATGAGGCTGTAAACGTGCAAAAAAATTGGAAAAGTTGTGCGAGTGATGTTTTTTTAGACCCTCCTGAAGTCCATGATGGAACGTCGCCTACTGCAAATGGTACCATCAAAGGAAAAAGCATAACTCTAAAGAGCGCTTTAATTTTGCCCTGCAATTTACGCAGCTTTTATATATCACATCAGTCAGTAATTGTATGAAATTTCAAAAGAGTTCCATAGACAGTTTTACTTGTGAAACTGAGTGGAAAAGGGTTGATTTCTAATGGTGCTCCGAAAGAAAACAAAGCATATTGTATGCAGTTTTTGTATAACCAAACAAGTTATAAACCTTTAAAATTTAGAGATGATTAAGCAATTGGCTTTTTTGGGGGCACTTCCAAATTTCAGAGCGAAAATTTGTCGACTCCTAATGGCGCACCAAACAAAAAAATTGCATCAATCCAAGGAACACTTACTTATTGGGCTAAAATTTATGCAGCTTTTAGGGAACTTATCGGTCTGTAAACGTGTGGAAATTTTTAAAGGCTTGCGTCAGAAACAGTTTTTCCTTGGGCGCTTTTGCACACATATATACCCATTTCTAATCACACCACCGAAGGAAACGAAGCATAACTCTTAGAGCAATGTCTCAATGTGAAATATTTCGAAAACGGTGAGAGATATTGACTTGGAATACGAGCACATTTTTTTTTCGAAAATCTCGTAGAACGCCACGTGGAGAACAAAAAGCAATATTTGAAAACGCAAAAAATGTCTGATCTTTTAAATGGCTCCAGACCGTTGCAGCGCTCTCTTCAATCTATGAAATCGTCGGAAATTTGGATTTGTCGATCTACAAAACTATAAAACTTAAATTTTTATGGTTAAGAAGCTCTTAAAATTAAGCGAAAATTTCACTCGCACGTTGACAATCTGTAACTCGAAAATTGCTAACTTTCAGAAAAGACAAACTTTCTGTCGCTAGAATGCTGCGAGCAGAAGGAAGCATTTACAAATCCGCATAGCGCTTCGATATCGACCATCTAAAGTCGAGCAAACGACTAATCGGAAGACTTGTCGAAATCAAGCTATGTATTCCGTCGCTCTTGATGATCCCACCAAAGAAGCCTTGATAAATAATACTTGGCCCGAATGTGGTTAATCATTTAGCCGACCTTTTGACAAAACCTCAATCTGTAGAGGCCCAGAATTTCATAAAAGTTCCAGTTAAAACTGAGCCGAGCGAGCCCAAATCAAAACTAAGTTAACTATATTGAGCGCTGTTATTGGTGCGAGCAACAAAGGATCTTATCCGAAATTATCACGTAGACCGAATGTTGATCTGCAATTTAGGCATAGTTTCATCTACATGTCAAGCTATAAAAGGCCAAAGTTTTATGAAAATCCACCAAAAGACTCAATGGTGAACACGTGTCGAAATCAGCTAGATACTCCGTAGCTAACAATGATGCCAGCAAAAAAGCATCCATTAGAGTCATTTGACAACCCTTTACACAAAATATCGACCTCAAATTGACCGACATTTCATAAAAATTTAATAAAATTGCTGCTTGGATAGCGAGCATTTAATTTAGTAAAAAAAGTTTAGGTCGCTTTTTGTGTGTGCGGAATTTGTTTATCTTTGGCTGAGAATGGGGATTTGTTTACGCTTATCAGTCAATAACGAGGTTCGAACCCGAAACTTGCATTTGCTACAAATGACTCATTTTTCAACCATTCAGGAATCTGGATCCGGACAGCGTTTTGTTTTACAGAAGTCGATGGCAACCAGGGTTGTAGTTTTCCTTTGATAGCTTTTATGCTGCTCGCATGTGCAGATTTGAGACTGTTATGTAGCGCTTTTCTCTTTCTCGTTCTGCGGATTTATTAGCGGTTTTTCGAAAAAGTTGCAGGTGAATTGTTGATCTTTTTAGTGCCTCTGATTAGAATCAGAAACTTTCCAAAGCTCTCTATCGACAAGGTTTAACTGATCTCTGGTCTTTTTGGAATCTAAAAACGTCGGAAAAAGCCTGCTTCTTGAAAGATGATCTGTTGGGAGCTTGATAGAAAAATTTCTAATAAATATTCAAATATATCATGTCAAGTAGTATAACAAATCAAGCTGCAAACTTCATTTGTTATTTTTACTACCCGGTGGGTCCAAACCTAAGGAGCTGAGCCTCAGACCGACGATTCATTTTCTGTCGGCGTTTTGACGAAATATCAAAGAAATTTGCCACGGATCAGGCTCGGATCGTTCGGTCAGGACGCGGGATAAGAGTACGACCATAGAATCAGGTTAAGGTAAAAAAACGTGGACTATTAGAGTTAAGTTATAATACTAAAATAAACAAGCAATGACCATTTAGAACGGCACCTTTTGGTTGGAAAAAAAT